TTATTTTCTCGCCTGGTCCATTATACTCCTGCTATGAGTGAAACCATCCGGTATTTTTCTTTCTCTTTCTGGCTTATCTCACTAAGCATGATCTTTAGGGAAAGTGTTTTTAAAGTTACGTTAAGCACTATGTAGGGAAATTTTGAAGACACTTAATTTGGAAATGCTTATCTGAATACTTTGTACCTCACATCTTTTGGTTGGCTAGTCAGTATTGCTCAATGGGAGGCTCAGAACATATGTTCAAAGTGCATAGATAGGAATCTCTTTGTAGGTTGCCAGTTATCAGCATCGATGTTGTCCCTAGAACATTCTTGTTTTTAATCTCATACAAGCCCAAAAAAAATGAGAGTTCTTACAATATGGGTACAGTGTTGACCATTTTTAAGGAACAGAATAAAGAGCACAGAGGCACAAAACATGTCTGACCCAGGGTTGATCAAGTTGAGTAGCCCTGCCCCTATATTTGAATTATTTGAGATTCAGTCTTTTCATATTGCTTTCTAGTAGTCTTAAAAGCAACAACCTTCAATCAGATGTCTTCCAGAAAATTCAGGGCTGATCATTTCTGAAAGAACTTTTATGCTACATGAATTTTTTAAAACCTTCACAGATAGGGCCCTCCCTGGTGGCACAGTGGGTTAAAGCACAACACTGAGAAGCTAAAGCCACTGCAGCATGAGTTCGATCCCTGCCCTAGAGGTGACCCAATGGTGCAGCAGACCGCTCCTGACTAGCCCACTGCTCCTCTCAGCAGTGTGCTTCGATCTGCCTGTTCTGCTCCCCACTCCGTCTCTGCTGAATCCTCTCAACACCCCTGCACCTCGGATCTGTACCCCAGTTCTGTATGCATAAATAAATAATTCTTTAAAAAAAAATTCACAGGTAAGCACTGTCCTTTTGGTTAGAGGCAGTGCTTTTGTCATCTCTTGAGTGAAGACCCAGGACAGAGAACAGTCTTTTTAAAATGAAAAGTGCTTACTAGATGTTTCTATCATATGTCCTTGACATTCAAAGTATTCCTTTCACTCTTTAGCTAATGACAGTGTTGCAGATAAGCAAGTGGCTACATGTTTTCAGGGTGTGAATTGTGGGTAGAAAAAAAACAAAAGCTTCCTTAAGCATGGCTCCAGAAGTTGTTTCAAGGTATTTGTTTTTCACTATGCCTAAGCGGCCTAAACCAGGGGAAAGGGGGGAGGGGGAATGAAAAGACAGATTGTGAGTTCTGGCAACAGAGCTCATGAAGAAGGGTGATAATATCTCCTGCAACTCTAGAAAAAAACTAATAATAACTGAAAGGCTGTGACTATACTCCTTAAATTTGCTACATGCCTGCCTCAAGTAAAAGTTTCATGGTAATATAGTGAAAGTGATAGCTACTACTATGGAACACACACTCTGAGCCAGATTTTATTGAGTGTTTTATGCAAGTGTTCACTCCTTGCATCATTATAACAACCCTGCGAGATAAGTACTATTATGCCACCAATTTACAGATAAGAAAAGTTGAAACAGACGTTCAGTGGCCTAGCTGTGCTCACAAGATGGGTGAATCCATGCATCTTGCCCAGTGTTGACATTGCCCAAGGTGAGCTACTAAGAGAAAAGCCTGAGGAATCCAAAAGCAGAATAATCACATCCTTCAATAACAGAATGAAAGGTGGTACAGCTATTGAGACAAGTTTTAATTCGTCAGAAGAGCATAAATTTCACTCTACTGCCAGGGCTAACCAGCCACCCCATGTCCCTCTTGGAGCACAGAGGTGTGTAAGCACTGACTCACCAAAAGTTCAACCAGAGAACTATTATTGGGAAAGAAATTCTAATGAAACGGGTCTCTAAGCTTATCAGCAAGTGAGTGCAAAGAACTTGGTTCATGCTGAGCTGAAAGTTTGCTTGGTTGAGACTAGAGAAATAATCACTGAGAATTTGGGCTGTTTCACGCAGTGATATGGAACCTTGCTTCCCTGACTTCACTTGATAGCACCTGTCCCACCCACCCTTCACTGCCAGCTCTCTTTCACCTTTACCTTTATCCTTATAGATCACTTCCTCTTGGAAACATTCCTGAATCTATACTTCCCTCCCCTTCCCAGGATATTAATAGGTCTTGTCCTTGTGGCACGTGGGCCCTCTGTATCTTGAGTCAGTCTTTTCCACTGTACATCATTCCTGTCTAGTGCCATTTATAATTCTTTACGGATCACACCTCTGGACTAATCTGATGGGGAGGGATTATGTTTTTCTTGTCTTTCTAACCCAGCTCTCAGCACATAGAACATTTTTGGTAATTGATTTAGGAAATCAAAGACAAGAGAAGGCCAAATGAAAAAAGTTGTTAAATGATATGCTCATTTGATTAAAATAGGATTGTGCCTAAGAAATAATCTCATACCTATTCAAAAGAAATGACAGAACTTTAAATAAAAGTAAACTCATAGCATGATTATAAACAACCTTAGCTCATATGTGAGGTTTTTTGTTTTGTTTTTTATTTTATACTTAATCAAAGACATAAGAGAGTCAACAGAAAGCAGAGAGAAATGTTCTTGTAAAACCAACTGTCTAGGCAGATAACGCAGTAGGTAAAGATAACCTTTCATATTATAGGTGAAGTCATTAATCACTAAACCAAGGAAGGTTGGGCAAACTTTGTTAATGTTAACACGTTTCATAGTTTGTTTTCAGACTCAGTTATTAAAATCAGGAAAAATTCATTTGCCATTATATAGTGAATATTAGTAGCTAGGCCACACCTAAATAAAAGCCATTTCAGGTTCTTAATAATTAGAGATTTAAATATTGTATTCAGAGAGCTACAAAGACCAAAATGGTGAGAACCACTGCTTTAGGACAGTGCAAACTTTTGTTCATTAAAAAACAAAAGCTCAATGGCCCTCCCTGGTGGTGCAGCGGGTTAAAGCACAGCACTAAGAAGCTTAAACTACTTCCACACGAGTTCAATCCCCGCCTGCCCCGGAGGTGACCACATGGCGTGGCAGACCTCTCCTGACCCGCCCGCTGCTCCCCTCAGCATTGTGCTTCGTCGATCTGCCTGTTCTGCTCCCCACTCCCTCTCACCCTCCGCATCTCTGGCCTGTACCCCAGTTCTGTATGAATAAATAAATAAATCTTAAAAAAAAAACAAAAACAAAAAAAACAAAAGTTCGGGCCCTCCCTGGTGGTGTAGCGGGTTAAATTCAATCTTTGCAGAACAAACAGACCAGAATACCTTTGAGATCTTTATGATTTATAGGTATCTCCTGTGATGAAAAACTTTTCAGATTTAGACACACAAAACAAAAAACACCTTTTTTAATTACTGATACATAGAGATGATAAAGCTCTTTAGATGAACAATTTGAGACACAGGTCAAAGAGTAAACAGCAAAAAAAGCCTCACAGGTCTAAAGAAAAATGGCTACAACATTCTTAACTTTAGCACCAAAAGACAAACCAGATTATCTGTCTTCTCACCCAATAGAGACTAGATTTTTACTGTCCGCTTAGAGATCACTGAATAGTCAGAATATAACCCAGATTCAGTCATTGTTTGAGGGGTGGTGGGGAGGGCTGGCTTGTAAGTCACCTCAGCCAACCCTAGAGCAGTTGTTAGTGCAGATAAGCCAGAAGAGTTAAGATTCTATTCCTCTGGGGATCCCCTGGGAGCCAAGGAAAGAAGAGGTACACTTCCCCAGCCCTGTAATTATCTGACTGAGTCATGTCCTCTACGGGTATTAAAGGATCATACTTGAATGCAGTATCATAACTCTAATACAAGTATAAATAACAGTGCCAAGCATAACTCAGAAGTAATGAGGGTGTCCTTAGGATGTCCTAAACAGTTCTGCTGGCTTTGATACCTAAATACCCAGCCATTCTCTGCATTCCTCCCCACCCCTGCTGCCTCATTCCACCTGCCACCCTCCATGCTTTGCCTCTTGCCAGACAAGGAACCAAATTCTCCAGTGATCTTTCTGCATCTAAGCATCTACCCTTACCCCCACCTTACTCAGTACCCCACCATACCTCCAGGTGAGCTCCAGAAATGCAAGTCATTCATGTCACTCCCCTCAACTGATTAGCCATTTTCCCCAGTCCCCCAGGAAAAAAAGTTCTTTAAGAATTCTACACATTTCTTGGCCCTTCCTGGTGGCGCAGTGGATTAAAGCACTGTACTAAGAAGCTTAGGCCACTATTGCATGAGTTCGATCCCTGCCTACCCTGGAGGAGATGCACATGGCGCAGCAGACCTCTGCTGACCCGCCTGCTGCTCCCCTCAGCAGTTTACTTCATTGATCTGCCTGTTCTGCTCCCCACTCTGTCTCTGGTGAATCCTCTCACCCTCTGCATCTCTGACCTGTACCCCAGTTATGTATGAATAAATAAATAAATCTTTAAAAAAAAAAAAGAATTCTACCATTTCCAAAGTGAGGCCCAAAACCTGTATTTTCAGCAGACTCCAAATGGTGCCCTTAACAGATCTGGAAATAGGATAAGGCCCAAGCACCTTGTGAGGGTTACATAATCTTCTTGCATTTGCCTTTGCTACTATAGTTTCATTTTTTACCACTCAAATTACTTGAAATAGTCATTGCTGGGAATTTAGGTCAAGTTTAGATGACCCTAAGTATGTTTTTTATAATATTTTTACATATTTTTATGCATTTTTCTATCAGTTGCAATCCCCTGGGGTTTCCCATCACCAAATCACCCGTGTGTCATCACCACAGTCCAGTGCATTTCCCTCCCCCTGCTGTTTTTGATCCCATTCTCCACTCCACCCCCATCAAATGTCTCTGGTATATGGCTGTTCATCATTATCATTATTTTGTTGAAGTATATTTTTGGTAGATCTGCAGTGTACTTGGCAATGGAAATCTGGCCATCACAGTTACTGATATTTTATATTTCCCATTTCAGCTCTTGGTGGACCCATGTAGAGATGGGGCCCCCAGATCCCATCCTGGGAGTCACGGAAGCCTTTAAGAGAGACACCAATAGCAAAAAGATGAATCTGGGAGTTGGTGCTTACCGGGATGATAATGGAAAGCCTTATGTACTCCCTAGCGTCCGGAAGGTGAGCTCGCCATCCATCTCCTGCCTAACTGGGAAAAATAACTTTAATGAAGCTCCTAGAGCATGCCAGAGAGGATGTCCCCAGGTGAGATCAGCCCTCACACATGGAGAAGAAGAGACCAAAGAGGCAGGCCACTCGAGATTGTTCAGTAGCAGTTTTTCTGCAGGAAGCTCTGTCTGGGGTGGCTACAAGACAAGCCTTTCCTGCCTGTGCCCCGCCCAGCTCCCTCGCAGCTCTGTCAGTGGAGGCTTTAGCTGTCCTCAGCCACATGCCATCGAGATAGGTCTGATCAACACGGCATTGCGACACATTTTCTTGAGACGGCATCGGTGGCTCCACTCACCAGTGTACACTCCTTGGAGCACGGCTGTAAGGTGCATGACGTGGGAAGGGAACAGGAAGCTCCGTCTGCCAGTTTCAGCTGGCTGAGCGAAATGCGGGAGGTTCTCTTGCTGCCCCTTCTCCAGCAGACACAAACTGTTTGGCTCACTTGGAATTTCTGGGCTGTTGACTCCTTTGTAAAAATGAGAGGTGGAGCTATATGCCAGGTCTGCCCAGACTGCACTTCTCTGATTATCCTTCCAACAGGCACGGTGTCATGTTTAATACTGAAAGTGCATAGGAGGGGTAAACTTAGCAGTGACTCGTGGATACTTTCCAAGAAAGGCACTTCCTGTAAATGGCAACCCAGAGAAACTGTGTATACATCTACAAAATACTATTATAAACAGTATTTCTACTGTGTGATATTAAATATCAAGTGTCCTACTTCCTCTTTTCCTTGCCCTAACTCTCAAATAAAAAACAAGGCTTTACTTGCAAATTTAACTATTAATCAGACTAATTGGGAAGGGAGAAGAAAGTAAACGAATTCCTTTTCCCTTACAGGCAGAAGCTCAGATTGCATCAAAAAATTTGGACAAAGAGTACCTGCCCATTGCGGGCCTGGCTGACTTTTGTAAGGCCTCCGCAGAGCTCGCCCTGGGAGAGAACAACGAAGTGTTGAAAAGTGGCCGGGTAAGCGGGGCACACTGGTGTCACACGGGGTCTGTTTTTAAATTGAACATCTTCAACAGATTTGAATTGATGTAAATGCTTGTCTTGGGGTAACTATACTTCTGCTAATAATGTCTTTAATTAGTAAACTGGGACAAATTTAAGGAGTTTATAAAACACCAGTTCCGAAAATGTAGTCACAGTTCAACGGATAGATTTGACACTGCCTTTGCTGCTAGTCTCTGTGTGCTTATGTTGATTTTACTTTGAACATGCTTTGGAAGTGCCCTCGGGCCAAGTTTTGGGTCTATAATTGGCCCCTGCCCTCATGCACTGAGTTCCAACTTACATGGAAGGGCAGGAAGGCGCTCCACATGGACTGGGGCAGGACCACGGCACTCCCACGGCCACCTTCCTCTCAGGTCAGGGGCTCACAACAAGGGGGGAGACCAAGCCGCCCGGGGTCTCCTCTGGCGGGACCCTCTTACTGCGGAAGGAGTGGACAGTAAAGGTCACTGCACAGAAGCCTTTTACAGAGAGGTCTCTGCGTGAAACCAGAGTAGCCTCCAGCCCAGTACAAGGCCAGCAGCCAGTAGTGGAATGAGCACTGAACAGCCTGCCGACTGCTAGCTCTGGTGTGGCTTACTTTTGAGACAGATGAACTTTTTAATAAAAACATTTGTATGTTTAATTTGTTTTTCTGGGGGGAAACATACAAGCTAGCAAAAGTAAGTCAACATTTCTCTCCTCCCAGACCCCAAGACCAGGATAAATATACAAAAATAAATCCATAGTGATTAACCTATGGTCTAAGTCCACAAGGTAGTTAACATTAACTCAGGAAAGCAGTAGCCTCAACCCCAGGGTGAGGGAGTCATGACCCTCTGTCAGGGGCAGATTGTTTTAGTTTTCCCAGTCTATAACACCCACCCACCTGTCAACCTCTCACAAAAACTCCTGTACTTTTTGTGACCTTGCTCCATGGGGCCCGTTGGGACCAGTGTAAGTCAGGCCTCTTACTAAACAGCGGTGGCTTGTCTTTTATGGACATAAAAGGCTACGCCTTACTGTGGGTCATGGACATTACAAGTCCTACAGCTAAGTTTTCTTTCTGTGTTTAGTGAAGTCGATCCTCCAGCCATTTAGTCCCTCACCCCCAACCCCAGGTCAGAAAATAGGTTTAACAGTTGTGGCACCTTGTACTCCCGTGATACCTTAAAAAACAACTTACACTTGCTGTGGTTTCTGACTCATCTCATAAATTGACTGACTTGAAGAAACAGTTTCTCGGGCATTTTCCCATTACCTAGAAGCGGGATATTCTCACATTCTGAAAATCCACAGAATGGGACCTCTTAGGATCACCTTTAAAATGTGAAAATAGCACCCTACTGTATACTTGTTAACTAGTGAGGAACTTTCATGTTCAGAAAGTCATCAATTTTATCTAATTCTAGAGTAATTTTTCATACAGTGACTATTCTTTGTGTCTTCTTTTCCTCTATTTTCACTCCTTTTTCATATTGGGGAGGGGAATTTTTGAGCCCTGAAAATTTCTCATGTTAGCACAGCATGATTCTAATAACAACCATAAGGAGTTAGCTTCTGCCTCCTGCAAAGAGCTGAAGAGACAGCTCTTTGGAAAACAGGTGATGAGCCTGTCTGTCAGCAAATGGAGAAATGAAACAATTGAATTGTCTTGTTTCCAAATGTTTATTTGGAACATTGTCTTTAGCTTCCGAAGAAGGAAGACACTGACTGTACAGAGGTCTCCTCTGTGGGTGTGTCCCCAGTTTGTTAAGGTGTGGGCTTGTCAAGAGCATTGTAGCTTGCTGACTGTGGGTGTCTTCCCTTCAGTATGTCACCGTGCAGACCATTTCTGGAACTGGGGCCTTGAGGATCGGAGCAAGTTTTCTGGTGAGTCTGGAAAACTCAGAGAAAAGCTGTAAGACCACCTGTCAGTGGAAGACGGTGGGGTTTCTAGTTGCATCTATATTTGCACACCTAGAATTAGATTTCCTTGTCACAGAATTGGAAGATTGCCTGTTCTCTGGAATCAGGGGGTTTGGGGGCGGGGGGGGAATGGGAGTGAAAGGACTTAGAGAAAATTACAAGGACAATATTATGGTGCAGGGAGGAATGGATGCTATTACTGAGCATACAATGTCACTAGGAGCTTTTATAGTTTAACACATTTAAACTGTGTGAAGGAGATCAGTTAGTTATTTTCCAAATGAAGAAAGTAGGGCCTCGACAGGCTCTTAGTCACACACCATTGTGAATACCCAGCACAGGCCACTGCTTGTTGGTGACAGACACAAGCGGAGTTTCAGTTAAGAAAACTACTGTCAATAAAATACAACAACATCTTGTTGTTTCTCCTTTCTTCATTTTCCATTTCCTCTCACCCCAACTTTTAGCAAAGGTTTTTTAAGTTCAGCCGAGATGTCTATCTGCCCAAACCATCCTGGGGAAATCACACGCCCATCTTCAGGGATGCCGGTATGCAGCTCCATGGTTATCGATACTATGAGCCCAAGACCTGCGGCTTTGACTTCACAGGTGCTCTGGAGGACATTTCAGTAAGTGTGGCTGGCAGGACGATGGGGCAAAAGGATATTTGTGGAGATTTGAGTGCCACAGCTAGATCTCAGTTTCTAACTTAAAATACTGAGAAATAGCTAATTCCCAGTCCTCTGTTTATCTCTGTAATTTATCAAATAATAGTGACCCTGTGGCATTTCTGGTAAGGTCTTTCCTTTAAAGCTCCCAAATAATCTCGTGGTGCTTTTCTCTTTAGAAAATGCCACAGCAAAGTGTTCTTCTCTTGCACGCTTGTGCCCACAATCCCACGGGAGTCGACCCTCGTCCTGAGCAGTGGAAGGAAATCGCAGCAGTGGTGAAGGTAAAGACGTCAGCTGACTGGTGACAGGCCTGTATTTAGTAGCCAGCCTTGGAAGCTTAGCTCGGTGAAGCTGACAAGTTAGAATTGGTTAGCTGAAGCCTGTATGAAAGTCCCATGTCTTAAGTCACCTGCAGAGAGCTCACTAGCTTGGCAGCTCTGTAATTGAGGGTATGAGCGGTTTGGACATCACCCACAGTTCTGCTAACCCTGTGGTTGCTGTCTGTACATAGGCATCTGCTGACCCCGGGAGGCTGCCGGTGGTGCTGTGTGTGCCCCGGTGGGTGGGTACTTGTTCATCCTTTTGTTCACTTTGCTGTGCCCCCACCTGCCCTTGCCACTCTCCTTGGCATTGCTGTTATCATTCACAGGGTCAACTGACGGAGGCACTAGTCACGGTTCTTAGGAGGACGCTACTCGTATCATATCCTGTGTGACAGCCAGTTTTACTCTTTTAGTTTCCCATCCTTTACATTCTGTCAAATCTAAGCTTCTGACAGAATGAGGTTATTCTCATTCAGTGCATCCAGAGAGCACTGTCAAGGTGAAAGAGTTGTAGTAACACATGCTCCCAATGAGTACAAATAACCATTTGGCGCATCTTCAGAGAACTGCCTAAAGCTCCAGTCATCTTTTCTTTTCCTCCCCAGAAAAACAATCTCTTTGCTTTCTTTGACATGGCCTACCAAGGCTTTGCCAGTGGTGATGGCAACAAGGATGCTTGGGCTGTGCGCCACTTCATCGAACAGGGCATTAATGTTTGTCTCTGCCAGTCCTATGCCAAGAACATGGGCTTATATGGTAAGCTAAAGACCCAGTGTGGTGTGTGTTCTGTGGAATCTTAAGTGTTGGGAGAGGATGCCACAAAAGTGTAGGCTTTGATGGTAATGGGGTCTGTCTGTCTGTCTCCATCCATGTTCGTCTGTCTCTCACATCCCTGTCCTTCTTATCCAGAGACAAAAAAAAACTGATCTAGTGGATTCTAACTTAGAATCCACTAACTTAGAATCCACTAGAATCTAACCTCTTAGCCACACCTTCTGTAATATCCCTGATTCCCTCCAACAAACAAACAAAAAATGATGGTGGCTTCTCTAAATAAAAAGCAACTAATTGATGAACCATTTTATAAAATGAATAAAATAGAGACCTTTAAACACTGTTGAGTACTCACACTGTTACATCTAGGCTCACCATTCTGATGATTGCAACTTTCATAAGAGTATCTTTTGGGGGAGCTTCTGATGAAACAGATGACATACCACAGTTTGTGTGGCAATTTAAAGTTGTGGATTTTTAGTCACGATTTCCTTAACAATTTAGGCAGAAGGACTAGAAGACTCAAGATCCGTTGTCTTTTCAGGTGAACGTGTGGGTGCCTTCACAGTGGTCTGCAAAGATGCTGATGAAGCCAAAAGGGTGGAGTCACAGCTGAAGATCTTGATCCGCCCCATGTACTCAAACCCCCCTCTCAATGGGGCCCGCATTGCCTCCACCATCCTGACCAGCCCTGACCTGCGCAAACAGTGGTAAGGCACACTGCTGTTCATAGGAGGCATTGCAGCTTCCCTGGTCAGCACATGGCAACATTGTTTTTCTACCTTAAATTAATTTTAGGAACATTGAAGTAAACAGCAACAGTCAAATTCAGGACCTTCTTTTCAATGTAATAGCCCCATATTAGCCTTAACAAAAAGCTAGTTCCTTTTTAAATTATTCTCTTTCCATTACAAAAGGACTATGTGAGAACATTCCAGAAAGTTTGGGAGAGGGGGCCAAAAAGTTGACCATGACTCAGCTTTTTTTCCTTTGCTTGCTGTTACAACTAAATATTTTTAAAAGTTTTTGTATTTCTGTGTGTGTGTTTTCATATTCCCTAATGGTAATCAAGACTTTTTTTTTTATTATTTTTTAAATATTTATTTATGCTTCCAGACCTGGGGTACAGGCCAGAGGTGTGGTGGGTAAGAGGATTCACCAGAGACAGAGTAGGGAGCAGAGTAGGCAGATCTACTGAAATACACTGCTGAGGGAAGCAGTGGAGTTAGACAGGAGAGGACTGCTGCGCCGTGTGGGTCACCTCCCTCGCAGGGATCAAACTCGTACTGCTGTGGCTTCAGAGAGCTTCATAGTATGGTGCTTTAAGCCATTGAGCCACTAGGGAGAGCCCAAAACTCTTTTTTTTTTTTTTTTTTTTTATTCATACAGAACTGGGGTACAGGCTAGAGATGCGGATGGTGAGAGGATTCACCAGGGACAGAGTGGGGAGCAGAACAGGCAGACCTACGAAGTACACTGCTGGGGGGAGCAGCGGGCGGGTCAGGAGAGGTCTGCCACACCATGTGGTCACCTCCAGGGCAGGCGGGAATCGAACTCATGCGGAGGTGGCTTAAGCTTCTTAGTGCAGTACTTTAACCTGCTGTGCCACCAGGGAGGGCCCAAAACTCTATTTTTTAATGTGCACATACACGTTTTACATGTGCAAAAATGATGCATCTTTAGTACTAGATGGTAAAACATCTTTTCCCTTGGACATGTCACAGTTAGTGAGCAAGGCACACGCACTGTTGCTGCAGGATGGAGTAGACTAAAAGCTAGCTAAGGGGGTGGGGATTCCAGGGGGACTGCACAGCTGTGTGAAAGACTGGCGTCTGAGGCCAGGGAAGATTGTCCAGAGGAAGCAAGCCGGGGTCGTGAGAGGATTGCCTTCCCCAGTTCCCAGATAAAATTAACCTTCTCCTCTTGAGCTCCCAGCAAAGCCCTGTACTACTACATACCTTGCCTTGCTTTGTTGTATAGTTGATTTTTTTTTTTTTTGGTAGGTTTGTTGCCAGCCTAAAGTGTAGGGTTTTGTTTTTTTTTTTTTAATTAAGATTTATTTATTTATGCATACAGAACTGGGGTACAGGCCAGAGGTGCAGGTGGGTGAGAGGACTCAGTGGAGACAGGTGGGGAGCAGGACAAGCAGATTGATGAAGTATATTTCTGAGGGCAACAGCAGGCGGGTCACGAGAGGTCTGCCACGCCGTGTGGGTCACCTCCCTGGCTGGGGATCAAACCTGTGCTGCTGTGTCTGCAGCAGCCTCATAGTGCTGTGCTTTAACCCGTCACACCACCAGAGAGAGCCCCTGGACAGTAAACTTCTAAAGGCCAAACCAGGTCTCAGTCCTTCTTCCTCCTCCACACCGAGCACGTGGCTTGGCCTTGTGAGAGTCACAGTGCAGCTTGTTACCTGTGAACAGGCAGGATTGTTTCTACTGCCCATGTCCTGTTTTACACTTTAATCCATAGCTTCTGTCTCTCGCAGAAGGATGGCGAGCCTTAACCGTTACTAAGTTTTAGTCATTGGTTTGTTTTTAACAAACAGTGTATCTTAACTGTTTTAGTTGCTGATCAAAATAGTATTCTGATAAATAACAAAATGCTCTGAAGTAGCTTTCTTTTTAGACCAGTGACAGCACATGACACAGGCAGGCAGGTAGTTAAAGCATATCATGGGAGTGGACAGGGAGGTAAACGCTGAGCTGTGGCTTCTCAGTGCTTGGCCAGGATGCAGCTGCATTTCAGGAGTTTGTTTTTTGTTTTCTGGGTTTTTTTTTACAGGCTGCAAGAAGTGAAAGGTATGGCTGATCGCATCATTAGCATGCGGACTCAGCTGGTGTCCAACCTCAAGAAGGAGGGCTCCTCCCACAACTGGCAGCACATCACTGACCAGATCGGCATGTTTTGTTTCACAGGGCTAAAGCCTGAACAGGTGAGTGGACACCAGCTCCCCCATAGCTGGCTGGCTGACCAGTCTGTGCAAACCAGAATTTCTCATAGGTGACCTACCTGTTCAGGGTTACCTGTAAACATTATTTCAGAGAGCTTTCAGGTAAAGCAAGTGTGCAGCATCCATTTATTTTGTTCCCTCACCGGTGGCACCAGAACAAACAGGAAACTAATTATAAAAGGAGCAGCAGCTACTCTGTAGCTGGATTCTGCATCTGTGGCTCTACAAATGCTGACTCTAAGGTTTCTTTTCATTGCTTCATCCTTCAGAACCATCATCCCATTTGAAAACAGCTTTTTATTTCTCCTTTACACTAGCACACCAAATTTGGGTGTGGGGTTTAAGTGGGAAAATAGAGCAGCTATTGTTTTTTATCCTTAAGGGTTGGCTCTTCCACCGGGCCAGAGAGACCCCTGCCCTGGCCAGGCGGTGCCTGAGCGCCTTTGTCTCTGCAGGTGGAGCGGCTGACCAAGGAGTTCTCCATCTACATGACGAAGGATGGCCGCATCTCTGTGGCAGGGGTCACCTCTGGTAATGTGGGCTACCTCGCCCATGCCATTCACCAGGTCACCAAGTAATTTCCTGGTTAGAGGGAACAGAGACAACCTTCCTGTCTGAGATTCACACTGAGAAGGGGGGTGGATGGCGATGAGCAGCTCATTTCCACAAGCAACCACAGTGCTTAACACTCAGCGATTGAACGTGTTTCTCGGAAAAGAACATGTAGTGAATAGGGCAGAGGCCTCTGTGACTGGTTTCTGGAACTTTGTGACTCTAAACCAAACTCCCTCATCCTTTTATCTTCAGCTTTTCTGAAAGTTTACATGTACAAAAAAGTAATAGCCCCCAAATGACCCTTTTGATCATGCCATTGCAATATTCTCAGAAGCTTTAACTGCAGCACTTCGAGGTGCTGGGGGTTCCTCTGTGGATCCATGAGAAATAGCTCCTGGTAGAGGCTTCGGGAAGAAGACCTAGTTAGACCTGACTAACAAATCATGTTTTATGAAAACCAGTGCGTTGGCCACCACTGCAGCATGGAAAAATAAGAGATGCTGCTTCCCATCTTACCTAAATAAAAATGAAAGAAGGCTCTTCTTTTCAACATCCATGGGCATTTCAGTGTCCCCCTCCTCCCTTGCCACTGCTTCTCTTTCTCTTAGGCACAAAGCTCTGTAATTAGCCTCGCCTAGATTTTCACCCTATTCCACTGCTTGATTGACCAACAAACCCATCCTATAGGGTTTACTTGTTTGAAGAATGAAGAGCATAATTTACTGCTCATCCCACACCTTTCACCCTTCTCATCAAAAAATAGCAACGAGTGGGTAACGGCACTGTATTTCGGCATCCTCCTCAGTGACTGTTTAATGAGCTCATCGGGCTGTTGCCTCTGCCCAGCCGGACTTCACACCTTGGCTCAGTGCTGTCGCACATGCACCTGTCCTCACCCTGAGGTGGGCGGCACAGGGGAGGACGGGGAAAGAGGGGACTCCGGCTGTCGTTCTCACCTGTGTGTGCTGCCAGCTGGGCTCAGGCGCCACCCTTTAAAGATACCCACCACCTGCTCTAATCATGTAGACTTCTTGAAGCCTGGTTTCTCTGTTACAATAAAGTTACTGTAGACCCAGCCACCATCCACTGCGCTCTGTCTTTTTCTTTAATTGGGGAAGGGGGTGGAGGGAACATATGTCCTAAGTGGAGCAAGTCCTGCTGACCATAGATATTAACAGTGAGTATGAAGTATAAAAAGTGATGCAAACTGAATGTTGAGCACAAGGGAAGTGACAAGCACAGTGAAACCGAAAGCTCAGGGTCACAGGTCAAATGTGTTTCCATTTTAGCAAAAAATTTCAAATTCAGAAATCCTGATTTTTATGGGGTCTGGTGATGCTTAAAAGTTTACAATTTAGCTTTTTAAAACTGCAAAGTGCATTTGCAAAATGCAAAGAATAAATTGCCAGGGTGCCGCCTCTAGCGTAAAGCCATGTGCTGTCTGCATCTAGCACTGCACCTGCCCGGCAGCAGGCCGACACGGTTATCCTGCCCCCTTTCTGTGCAAAGAGCTGTTCAGGCCAGCCAGGACTCAGACCATCTAGTGTTGGAGCAGATTGCGGAGGAAAACAAGTTTGTTCCCTTGCATCTCACTTCAGGGGCCAGAGCACAGTGGGGTCGCTCCTAGTCCTTGACTTCCATTGCTAATAGAGACATCAAGGTAGCAAAGGAAAATAAATGGTTCACTGACACCTTTGAAAAAAATCCCTCAAATGGGAACAATAAACATTGGGCAGATGATCTCTTAGGGACTAACTGCCTGACGTAGGCAGCACTGCACTGTCTCTCTGTGGAGCTGCAGAATGGTTGCAAGCTGGCTGCCAAGACCTTGGCAGCAAAAAGAACTTGACCAGCTGACCTTGTTATTTTTAAACCTGGGTATTGCCAGCTCACCATAGACTGTCCTGTTCACCACTGGAAGTCACATGGCATGTGGACCCTGACGTTTTCTCATCAGCCCAGGTGGATTGCCTTCGGCCCTTCCAAGTTTCCGAGTCTGGGTGTCAGATACCGATGGTCTCCCACCTGCTGGAGCTGCCCAGAAAAATAGAGCCTAAGGCAGAAATATTTCCAAGTCTGGATTGTTTAGTGTAGGTTCCTTGCCCTTACCTTGGCAAGCATGTAATCTAATTTATATATTTTTTTAATCTAAAAAGAAAAAAGAAACCTAGGTGGTTGTGGAGATACAGCTCTCACATTGACTGGTCTGGGTACAATCAAACTAAATGCCTCAGGCTTACATTTTATGTCCAGCTTGAGAATTTTTAAATTTTTTTTTCCTTCTGTGTGAGAATTTTATTTTTCATACAAATTGTTGGCTCAGGGCCCTCCCTAGTGGCACAATGGGTTAAAGCACAGCACTGTGAAGCTAACCACAGCCACTTCAGCACAAGTTCCATCCCAGTCCAGGGAGGTGACACAGCAGACCTCTCCTGACCTGCCCACTGCTCCCCTCAGCAGTGTACATCATCCATCTGCCTGTTCTACTCCCCACTCTTTCTCTGGTGAATTCTCTCACTGCCCCTGCACCTCTGGCCTGTACCCCAGTGTTTGTATGCATAAATAAATAACTCCTTTAAAAAAAAAAAAGAAATGAGGTATTATCTGCTCCAACATGGATGAACTTTGAAAACGGTGTTAAGTGAAAGAAGACAGATACATAAAGTCCCATTCTATTTATATAAAATGTGAACAAAGAGCAAATCCATGCAAGCAAAGTGGATTAGTGGTTGGTTGCCAGGGACTCGGGGGAGGAAGAAATAGGGAGTGACTGCTAATGGTTACAGGCTCCTAGGGAAAGTGATGACTTTAGTGATTGTAACTGAAAAAGCACTGTATTTTGACACTTTGAAGAGAGAAAATTTCTGATGAAATTCATAAATCTCAAAGCTATATTTTAAAAACCTGCAAATAGCTCAGAAGTCCTTCAACAAATGATTAGTTAACAAACTGGTTCATAGACACCATGGAATACTACTCAGTAATAAAACATGCACGTTGATATATACAACTTGGCTGTGTCTTGGGGGGCATAGAGCTGAGCAGAAAAAGCTACTCCTAAAATGTTAGAAGCTGAAAGATTTTGTTTACATAACTCTTGAAATAGTGAACATTTTGAAATGACAGATTAATGGCTGCCAGAGGTGAAACAAGGAAGTGCTTGCTGGAAGGAGGTGACTGGGTAAAGTGCAACTAGGAGGATCCTTGTGGTGATGTAAATGTTCAGTGTCTTGAATCGTGTATAAATTCCTATACACAATTAAATTACAGAATGAGGGCACCTGGGGGTGGGGAGCCCTAAAAATTACAAAATGACACCCACTGTGATTGTACATGTAACAGGAACTCTGAATATGATCAGTGCATTGGTCGATGTCAAAGTCCTGACTGGTATTGTACTATAGTTTTGAAAATGTCACCACTGAAGGAAACAAAGTAGATAGTACACAGGATCTCTTCCAATTATTTCTTATAGCTGTTTGTAAATCTACAGTGGTCACAACATAAATTCCTCTGATGCACGCTCAAAGTTGAGAGCAAATTCTCCTAACAGATGAGGACACTGGAAAGCTGGGGATTATATGACAATTTATAAGTAACAAGGTTGGTAACACAAACCAAGGCTCTCCTTCATTCAGCGGGTACTTAGATGAATGACTATAATGCCTCAGAAACTTCTAGAATCTAGGCTCAGGTCTAGAGATCTGGACAGTATTCAGACTAATCTTCTCTCTCCTAAAGCCCATGACTTTAGGAAGTCGCCAGGCTCAATAAAAGGGAAGCCAGGGTCGGATGTTTCGCTCAAAGCAGAAGCGTAAGGGATCATGGGGAAAAAGAGAGACAAATGTAATAAGAGTAAAAATGAAAACAATGAACAACTATTCCAGAGACATTTTATGGGGGTGAAGGGGGAATGGGATCAGAACTGGATGGGAAGAGTGCCCTGGACTGTGGTGATGGCACACGGGTGAACTGGTGGTGGGAAGCCCATGGGGATTACAACTGAGATGGAAAAAGTCACAAAATAAAGAATGGTGTGATATATATATATACACACACAATATATACAATGTGTTATGTGCGTATATACACAATATATATACAATGTGTGTATGTGGGTATATATGTGTATATATGTGTGTGTATATATATACACACATATATATATATGGTGTGTGTATGTGTGTGTGTGTGTGTGTAAAGAGAGAGGAGAAGCCAGGGTCACTGGCTGTGGGTGTGAAGGCAAGAAGGAAGACACCGCAGGACAATGAGACCAAACAGCTTTGGCAGTAGCTGTGACCCACCGCAGCAGTCTGGCGAAGAGCCAAACCTAAAGGATCGTCCCAGGAGGAAGCGGGGGTTAGCTTGGCCAAAAGCCCAGGACTGAAAATAAGAGGATAATCATGAGTGAGCCAGCGGGAGGCTGGCTCAGGGCAGTGCTGTGGAGTTGTGGCTCGTGGGGCTAGTGCCATCCAAGATAGACACCTGCGGGAAACTACAACTCCCAGGGTGTCCCGCGACCCGCCCGAGCCGGCGGTCACGTGACCGCTGCTCACGTGCCGCCTCAGCCGGCTGGGGAATGAAACATCGTAGGTAAGTGGCAGGAGGGAGAGGCAGTAGAGGGTGGGACCGTTTATCTCCGGGACGCTGCAGCCCCCGCCGCGGCAGGACCCTACCCACTGCCCACTGACCGCTGCCCAAGGGGCTCGGGAGCGGAGCCTGGCGTGGTCGCGCCCACGCTTACTCTGTTGTGCGGGTTCGGGCAGCGCCTTGGCCCGGCCTGTCTCCTCCTGCCCCAGGCCTCGATCTAGTCCCAGTGCCCCTCCCCAGTTTAGCCCACAGCCGCGCCGCTCGCTTGCCTTCAGGTCCGGCGACCGCCCCTCCCCAGCGGGTTGTCCGGGCACACCTGCCAATGCAGCCCGCCCTGCATATTCCGGGGGTCCAGTCCCGAGGTGGGCTGGAGCCTGCCACTGTTGGGATCTGAGGGGCCTACTGCATTGCTGGCAGCTCCCGCCTGAGTGTGAGGCCATCAGGCGACTAGTTCTGGCTCTTGCCCTCTGGAGACCTGTGTTCATCTCTAATCTGATAGCCCATTCTGAGTTACAGGCTCAGCCCCTTTGTTCTGCTGACTAGCACAGAAACAGCAGAAACTCTTTTCTCGGCAACCGGCAGATTTTGTGGAACATCTTGAGAAAGAAGAGGTCAGATTGGGGTCAGAGAGGGAAGTGAGGAGAATCCAGATCCCACATCTCTGGGAGAAGAAACTGCAAGGAAGAGCCACCCAGCCCCATAGCATAGCCTGTCAGGTAAGCTGGACAAGGGAGGTGAATGACTTGGGGCAGGGAGGCTGACATCCTGGACCAACATATAGACCCTGCACCTGAGGTGCAGGCCAGGTAGAGGGCTCACAGCCCCTGCAGCCCCGACTTGGCAGCGCTCTCAGGAACTATGCTCCAGCCCCCAGTCCGGACTCCACCTCACTGCTAACTGCTTTCATTTTTTGCTGAGTTGCTAGCTGGGTGGCAGATTGCACAAGAGGAAGGCCTGTGGCATCTGACTAATCTTTCTGGAGCTGAAGCCAGCAGAGGGCTATATCTCCTGAACTGTTTTTCTTGGTTAATGTTTGGTGGCCAATGTCTGAGAGCACCCAAACTTTTCCATTTGTCATGATGTGGAAGCCTCACCAAGAGGGGCAAAGGAAAGCCTCTGACTTCGTGGGAGCTTTGTTACCATTCTAAACCCCTCCCGCACCCCACCCCACGGGTGCTGAGGGCATCAAGGGGGATGTCTCAATGCTGGATAGTATTTAGCTCAGCCATTATGACTGAATCTGGTCAGTCCCCTTCACCATGGGTTACCAAGAGTGGAATGTCAAGCGCAGAGTTTTTGTGTGAATAACGTGTGCTCAGGACCCAGGACGGAGGACATTGGGGTGGGGGAGCCTTCAGTACCCTTCCCATTCTGAGCAGTCATTGCCAATACGGAGCCTTTGGGGAAGCCCACACCTGGCTCCTTACTACCCACTCAGCACTGTCTTCTCCTCTGGCCTTCACGTTGCTCTTCCTCCTTAGCTACTCCTTCTCCTCTGGCCTTCACGTTGCTCTTCCTCCTTAGCTACTCCAGTGCCTTTGTGCCCATTTTCACCTGACCAGCAGCCCCAGACCCTGGTTTTGATCAGTTTTCTGCTCTATGTTTGCTTAGAGTCGGGAATTCTTAGGCAGCATTAGGAAGGGCATCTGAAGACTCAGCAGTAACCCTTGCTAATGCCCGTGCCTCACAGTAACTGGTGTAAAGACTCAGAGAGGTAAAGTGACTTGCCTGAGGCCACACAGCTGGGTTTTGGAGGATTCTGACTTCAGAATCCAATCAGAACCCGGGATCACAAAACATAAAACCTCCCTGCACAGGGGTGCTTCCATCCCAGGGACTTGGGTCTGCACAACCATCATTTCTCTTGAGGCTCTCAGGCTGTAAGTGGAGCCCTGAAGATAATGAAGATCATTTGTCAGGTTTGGGCTCCTCACAGTCCCTCAAGATACTGAATAGAGAAAGCTTCTTCCTAGTTTTCAAGGAAGATCAAAGCCAGAGAAGCAGCACTTAAGTCACCTGTGTTGGCCAGACAGTAAAGACAATCAGTTCTGGTGACAAGTTGGTTAACTGAGCCCTGCCCATGGCAACATGGTGAGCCCAGGAGGGAGGCAAATACAGAGACTGCTCTCGGGTCAGACTGGCCTGAGTTGAATCCCAGCTCCACCTCTGACCACTATGTAGCTTAGAAGCCTTAACCCCTCTGGAATTCTGTTTCCTCCTTAGTTAAGGGGTATGAGTCATGCCTACCTTGCAGGGCTATTTTGAGGATTGAATGAGATAAGACACTTCCATATCTACTGCAGTAGCAGTTGATCGGAACATAATACTTGGGGTCCTCCCTCATGGGCCTAGGAGTTAAGTCTCAGCACTATCACTGCTACAGTCCGAGTTCGATCCCTGGCCAGGGAGCTGACCCACATGGTGCAGCAGACCTCTCCTGTCCTGCCCACTACTCCCCTCAACAGTGTATTTCAGTAAATTTACCTGTTCTGCACCCCACTGTGTCTCTGGTGGATCCTTGTATCTCTGGGCCTACACCTTAGTTCTTCTATACACACACACACACACACAATATTTTAAAAAAGCATTTGTCTGGCATCTAGCTTAGAAGGGCAAAGCTGCTACCTGTGAAACGCTGGCAGGTGAGAGACTACTCTGAGGAAACCAGCCTGGGCAATGCTGAGCCCCAAGGCCCAGCAGCACCAAAATGAGCTCAGTGAGTGTCAGAGATAAGTAGCACCCGGAAGGGAGACTGGCAAAGGGACTGGGAGGTGTCCTAGGACAGGACCTGTGGTTTTTTCCCTGGGCCCAAACAGGACAAGTATGAGGGACTTGTCATGTGGTAAAGAGTGAGAATTGGCCTGTCATAGAAGTTGACTCTGGGCCAGAGGGGATGTGATGAGCTCTGACTCACTGAAATATCCGTGGTTATAGGTGACGGCTGTTCTTGGACCCTACAGAGTGGAAACAAGCTAAGAAGCCGCACAGCTTTGCAACTCATATTATGTGACCTTGCATCCATGATTTAATCTCTCTGAACCTTATGACCACTGTCATAAGGACTGAAAGATAAGATAGGTCCATCACACACCTGTCAGTGCCTGGCCTCTCCATAGGGTGTCAGTACCCCTTTTATGTGTATGTCTTTCCCTATGGGTCTGTAAACCTGAAGCCAGCAGGATTTGCATCTACATGCTCTGTCTCTACCACCCCACACCCAAGGCAGCTTGCTGCCCAGTGGCACACCCAGAGTTTGCCTCCCAGCTATGTAATCTCCAAGCAGTTTTTCTCCTCTTTGTGGCCCACCTATCTGTGCCCACCTCAGCTTACCTGTCCTCTATCTCTTTTATCCCATCTAGGTGGAGAAGAGCAGGAGTCCACAGGTCTCCTAGAATAACAGCCCTGAACAAGCTGGTGCCACCCTCAGCTGTGCAGGGGATGTGGTCGTGACCCAGAGCCGGCTGACCCTACAGCAAGAGGGCTCCCAGAGCCATGGCCCAGATCAGCATCAACAGTGACTATGGCGAGTGGGGCTCAAGCTCAGACGCTGGGGAGCGGGCACGTCTGCTGCAGAGCCCCTGTGTGGACACAGCCCCCAAGAATGAGGAGCCAGCCTCTCCTGGGGGTCCGGCCAGAGGAACCACTTCCACACTTGGGGCCATCTTCATTGTCGTCAATGCCTGCCTGGGTGCAGGGCTGCTCAACTTCCCAGCAGCTTTCAGCACCGCAGGGGGTGTGGCAGCCGGCATCACGCTGCAGATGGTGAGTGTTGGCTGGGAGGGCAGAGATGCCATTTGGGTGGGGGGCTGAGCTTTTTGCTTAAAAGAGAGGCTTTAGGTCAGGGATGACTGGGAAATGACATGTGCTACCCCTCTCCCTGCCCTCACCCATGGCAGACATTACTAATCTATGCCAGAGTTCTTTTTTCCAAACTCACGTGAGGCTTCATACTCACGTCAGGCTGCATATTTAAGTACTTCATGATTGTGTTTTAAAAGTGTGCCTTTATCTTTTAAAACCACACCTCCATGCTAAAATAAGTCATATTTTCAAAGCAATCCAGGGTGTGAAAAAGAATAGGTGAATCAAAATAGGCCTTTCATTGTTCACTTTTGAAGTTAAGTAAAGGGTACCTGTGACCCCATAATACTATCCTGTCTACTCTTGTGTCTACTCTTGTTTGAAATATTCCGCAAAAGGGCGTCCCTGGTGACACAAGGGGTTAAACCTGAGCACTATGAAGCTATTTGCAACACAACTTTCATCCCCACCAGGAAGCTGACCTCTCCTGTCTTCGCCCACTGCTCCCCTCAGCATATATTTCAGTCAGTCCACCTGTTCTGCTCCTCACTCTGTCTCTGGTGAATCATCTCACCCCCACACCTCTGGCCTATACTCCAGTTCTTATATGAATAAATAAATAAAAGAAATCTTAAAAAAAAAGAAAAGAAATATTTGGGGGAAAAAAAACCTGTTTTTAAAGAAAATCTTAACTTGGCAATCTATGGATATTAGTATTAGTAATCTATTCATTAATCTGGTAACCTATTAAAATTAACCCTACCCAATGAGACTTGTTGGCCAAACTGGCTTTGGGCACAGTGCCAGTTAAGTGCCAAGCAAGCCCAGGCTGCCCTCTGCGGCCCAACCTTCCCCACACCCTCTTGCTCTGCCCCTGCCTGCAGGGAATGCTGGTGTTCATCATCAGCGGCCTGGTCATCCTGGCCTACTGCTCCCAGGCCAGCAATGAAAGGACCTACCAGGAGGTGGTGTGGGCTGTGAGCGGCAAGCTGACGGGCGTGCTGTGTGAGGTGGCCATTGCCATCTATACCTTCGGCACCTGCATCGCCTTCCTCATCATCATCGGAGACCAGCAGGACAAGAGTGAGCTTACCCCACTCCTCTTCCTGGGGGTCCCAGGAGCAAGCATGGGAGGTTAACCTCTGCCCGAGTCCTCTGCTCAGCATTCATCTGGGAATCCCGCCTCCTGTCTGCATGGCCCCTTAGGCAGGCGGGGGCCAGCAGAGCAGGGGGGCTGTACCCCGTGCTAGACTGGCGTGACGTTCTTTGCTTCCTCCCTGTGCAGTTATAGCTGTGATGACAAAGGAGCCTGAGGGCACCAGCAGCGGCCCCTGGTACACCGACCGGAAGTTCACCATCAGCCTCACTGCCTTCCTCTTCATCCTGCCTCTCTCCATCCCCAGGGAGATTGGCTTCCAGAAATATGCCAGGTTTGAAGGCCCCATCCCCGCCTAGGCCAGACAGAAGCTCTGATGCAGGGAGCTTGGGGCTCAAGGGTTTCTGGAGAAACTGCCTTACCTTCTGGGGCAGCCAGACAAGCAAGGCAGGGCACACCAGGGCTCAGAGCTTCCAGCATAAACTTCCTTTGCTGTCAGCAACAAGGGACGCAAGGCCCTGGACATCCGTGAGAGACTCCACTCCAGATGTCCTGGTCAAAGAAAGGATGGATGATAGGGGTGTGAAGGCAGCGCCTGGCCTGGATCTTGGCTTTCCCAGGGAGGAGAAGGTCTTTGATTATCTGGGGTAAAGACAGAGGACCGGCTTCCTGCCTCTGGGTCTGAAAAGCTGTGGGATTCTAGACTGTCTTCTGTGATTTAGATTCAAAAGGGTGACACTCAGCTGGCTCCAAGGTCTCCTCTTCTGTTGACATTCCACCATGTGTACACACAACCCTCTTACCTCCAGCTTCTCCCTGTTAGTGGTGCTACCTGCAACCCGGGCCAGGTCTGGGCTGCTCTAACTGAAGTCAATGTGCTTTGAAAACCAGGCCCCTTGGACCCTCCCTGGTGGCACAACAGGTTAAAAGCACAGCACTCTGCAGCTGTCTGCAGCCACTGCAGCATGAGTTCGATCCCCAGCCAGGGAGCTGACCCACAGGGTGCTGCAGACCTCTCCTGTCTCGCCCGCTGCTCCCCTCAGCACTGTGTTTTAGTCAGTCTGCCTGTTTGGCTCCCCACTCTGTCTCTGGTGAATCCTCTCACCTCTGGCCCAGTTCTTGTATGCATAAATAAATAAATCTTAAAAAAAAAGAAAAAAGAAAACCAGGCCCCCAGTTGGCGACCAGTTTCCTCCTAGCCATGGCCAGTTCCCCTGAGACTTATTTATCAGACATTTCCCGAGCCAGAGTCTCCCATGTTGTTCCATTAACACTTCCAGCAATGTTCCACCCTAGAGATGAGGGTGGAAGCCCCAGGGATGGGAGCAAAGAAGGACTAGCTAGGGCTGGGGAGGGGGAAGCTCATCCTCCCTTTCCGGCAGCTTCCTGAGCGTCGTGGGCACCTGGTACGTCACTGCCATCGTCATCATCAAATACATCTGGCCAGACAAAGAGATGACCCCTGGGGACATCCTGACCAGGTGAGTGAGACCCCCAGGAGATACTTTGGGGGAGACATGGCTGCTCGGTCCCCTGGGTCAGGCATCAGAAAGTCACACAGGTGCTCTCCCAGGCTAATCATTAGCCCATCAGGGCTCAGCTCGTTGGTCACGATGGGAAGGAGACAGATGTCCTGATCTCTTTTTACTGGATGGAAAAGCAAGAACCAGAGTCACAGGAGACTTTGCCACCAACCTCCAATAAGAGCCCAGTGAGACTAGGTCCCAGCTTGTGGCGGCTACCACGGCCAAATTGCACATTTTCCAACTTGTGCTTGGTTGTAATTTTTGTCTCCCCTAACTGAGGATGAAACCCTTTTTTGTTATTTAAAAGAAAAGTTGCCCCTTTTTTGAAAGGTACAAACCAAAAAAAGCAAAAACTTGGCGCAGGAGCCAGGCATCCTGGATTTGGGTCCCAGAAGGGCTTCTGGGAGCCTTCATTTACTGATCTGTGAAATGGGAATGTGCCATGTCCCAGTTCCCAGATGTATGTGGGCTTTGGTGGAATGCTACTTGGTGGAGATCATGGGGGCTTTGAATGCAGAATAGGAACTTGGGACAGCAGGGGGCACTTGTGGTTCTGAGGGCCTCACCATCAGCAACATTTGCTATGTCTGTTCACAGGCCGACTTCCTGGGTTGCCGTGTTCAATGCCATGCCCACCATCTGCTTTGGATTTCAGGTACCCCCTCAAGGTCCCTGTTGTCCCTGTAGCTCACTCTGCACCCTATGAGAGAACCCACAATGCCAGCAGCCGGGGAGATCCTGAAAGGAAAGATGGAATGGGGGGCCCAGGACTTGCTCCCTGTCCTCTGGAAATGGAGGGTGAGATCACTTCCCAACCATAACTGTGCCCTTCACCCTATAGTGCCACGTGAGCAGTGTGCCTGTCTTCAACAGCATGCGGCACCCTGAGGTGAAGACGTGGGGCTGGGTGGTCACAGCCGCCATGGTCATAGCCCTTGCTGTCTACCTGGGCACAGGTGAGTGCTGTACTCCCAGGCTGGGCTTGGGCTGCTCCCCAGGAGGGACGTGACTCAGTGAACGCTGGCTGTGGGGTTGTGTGGAGAATGGTCTAGATGAGGGAGCAGGACCCAGAGACCTGGAAGACTGGCCCTGTGACACCCCCACAGACAGTCTTGGGCAAGCGTTTAGCCAGAACAAGAGAGGCAAACGTCAGCATCCCTGTTGTTCTGGTGTTCATGTTCTGGCGGGTGAGACACAGAATGCAAGTGGGGACAAAAATGGGACATGAGTGCTTTGAAGAAAATAAAACATGACTTGAGAGAAAGACTGGGGCGGGGGCGCTGCTCCAGCCAGGGACACCTCTGAGGAAAAGGACATCTGAGCTGAGGCCTGACTGACAGGGAGCTGGCAGCAGCCTGATAACAGAACATTAGAGCCGAAGCCCCGCAGGCACCTGCAGGGGGAGCCCGAGGGCAGGAAGGTGGCAGTGCGGGCGGGAACTGAGAAACTGGGAGGCTTCTGGTCCTGGTCCCAGCCCCGGCTCTGAGCCATAGCTGCACCAGTGCGCCCTCCCAGCGGTGCCCCAGCCCAGCCCACCTGTCCCTGCTCCCAGGCATCTGTGGCTTCCTGACCTTCGGAGCCGCTGTGGACCCCGACGTGCTCCTGTCATACCCCTCGGAGGACATAGCTGTGGCTGTTGCCCGAGCCTTCATCATCCTGAGCGTGCTCACCTCCTACCCCATCCTGCACTTCTGCGGGCGGTGAGCCCCTTCCCACCCCACTGGGGAGCTCCCTCTCACCAGGGCCGCTCAAGGGCCCCCAAAGCCCTCTGGTCCTTGGGTCTTGTGTGCAACCCACTTTGTAGGAGAAATTAAAGCCTGTAAGAAGGATTCAGTACCTAGAATGAGCCCACTAGTCCCCCAGTGGGCTCTTGTTCCCAGGTCCCCTCTAAAAATCTCTAGTCCAGTGCTTTCCTGAACCCCCGTCCCCAGCCTTCTGGGTACCCCAGACTCTTGCTCTTCAGATCATGTTTAATAGTTCCCGTGTGGTGAGCACATCCCAGGCCAAGCAAGACCTGCATCTTATCCGGTTCCCATGGCAACCCAGACACGTGCTACAAGGCCCACTTTACAGAAGGGGAAACTGAGGCCTCGAGATAAGGACCCGACCCACCCACAGCCTACCCAGAGACTGGCTCTGTGAACTGGAGGTGGGGACTGGTCAGGGGGGGCACCTTGGAACCCCTCTCTCTGCGGACAGGGCGGTGGTGGAAGGCCTGTGGCTGCGCTACCAGGGGATGCCGGTGGAGGAGGACGTGGGGCGGGAGCAGCGGCGGCGCGTGCTGCAGACGCTGGCCTGGTTCCTGCTCACCCTGCTGCTGGCGCTCTTCATCCCTGACATCGGCAAGGTCATCTCAGTCATCGGAGGCCTGGCCGCCTGCTTCATCTTCGTCTTCCCAGGTCTGCACCCCGAGTGCTCCCCTGCTCTCCCTGGCCTCGGCACCCCTGCTCACCTGTCTGGGAGAATAACCACCAGCATTCACTGATCACTCTCTTGGGCTATGTGCTCACTATCCCAGCATTAGGCCCAAAAGGAAGTGTGATTGTTCTGTGCATTTCACTCATGAGATAGGAGGTGCGGGTTGGGTAACAAACTTGCATGAAGGTTAACAACTCAACCGATGAGCAACAGGACCATTTCAAGCCCAGATCCGTCTGGGTCCACAACTTACCCTCTAAACCCTTCATTCATGTTCTTTTGTCCCCTCATCCCCCCCTGAAGGGGGACTGGTTCCAAGATGCCCCCATACCAGAATCCAAAGAGGCTCAAGTCCCTTCTATAAAATGGCACCGCGTTTGCATATAACCTACACAATCGGCCCACGTGTCCTTCATATAAACTCTAGGTCATGGATGTTAATACATGTAAACGTATTTTACCTAACACAGTGCAAGTGCTTTGTAGTTGAACTAACGTATTGTTTATGAAACAGTGATAAGAAACAAGTCTGTCCATGTTCAGTGCATGCATAACCACTATAGATCGAACTACGTAGTATGCATTTTCAATTTTTTGTTTAGATTTTATTTTTACTTATTTATGCATACAAGAACTGGGGTGTAGGCCAGCGGTGCAGGGGATGAGAAGATCCACCAGAGACAGAGTGGGGAGCAGATGACAGATCAACTGAAATACACTGCTGAGGGGGGCAGTGGGTGAGGCAGGAGAGGTCTGCTCTGCCACGTGGGTCAGCTTCCTAGTCAGGGATCTAATTTTATGCCACAGTGGCTGGTGATAGTTTCATGGTGCTGAGACTTAACCCTTGCATCACCAGGGAGGCTCCAGTATGTATTTTCAGTCCACAGTTGGCTGAATGAGGAACAAATTGCTCTGCAGAGGGAAATAGCAGCCCTGGAGGGCCCATCATGTCTCTTGCTGCTTGGCTTCCAGTGATCTGGCTGGTTCAGCCCATTACAGCAGTGGGCAGTGGGACAGGTGACAGCACCCTGATGCAGAAGCTGGGAGACGTGAGTTTGAGACATGGGTCTGCTGCCAGATCCCTGGACAATTGTCCTGTCTGTGCAGCATGAGTTCTCCCTATGCTGAGCTTGCTTCTATCCAAGAGATGAAAGTCCTTATCACTTTGCATGGAGCAGGAGCCCATGTCTGCTTAAAAGTGCAGTGGAAGGGCCTCCCTGGTGGCACAATGGGTTAAAGCACAGCACTACGAAGCTGGCCATTGCTTCAGCATGAGTTTGGTCCCCAGCCAGGGAGGAGATCCACATGGCGCGGCAGACCTCTCCTAACTTGCCTGCTGCTCCCCTCAGCAGTGTGCTTCTTCAATCTGCATGTTCTGCTCCCCACTCTGTCTCTGGTGAATCTTCTCACCGTCCCTGCACCTCTGACCTGTACCACAGTCTGTATGCATAAATAAATAAATCTTAAAAAAAAAAAAAAGGTGCAAGTGGAAAGGTCCCTGGGGTGTGGGCACCACGGACTCACCTTGCAATGTTGCCCATTTGCCCTGATTTTTGTGTGCTGTCCTAGTGGTGCCGATCAGATGCTGGTCTCTCCTGGGAGAGCAGGTACCAGGCCTCTAGCTAGGAATGGAACATCTTGACGAGTAAGCTTAGGCCTTTCTCCATACATCACACCAGGGAGGCAGGCTGGGCCTGCGTCAGAGAGCCCACCCAATCTCTCAGGAGCCACTTCTTCTCTTCCAGGGCTGTGCCTCATTCAAGCCAAACTCTCTGAGATGGAGGAAGTCAAACCAGCCAGGTAAAGTAGGCACTGACCCATGCTTCTCTTGGGGAGCTGCTGAATGTGGAAAGGGATGGGATGGGGAGACTTAAAAATAATAAGGGTCAGGAGACTTGCATGCTTGTAGTGGGTAACACATGCTTAGTTTTAATGGTTCCAACTAAGAACTGAAGGACTTTAGAGGACAAACTGGAGCTCCCTCTTTCCCACAGTCCTCCACACCATGTTCCCAGGCCAAATGTCAGTGCAGATGTGGGTCTGTGCACACACAGCAACGCACACGTATGCACAGACCCTCAGGATTCTGCATATAGCTTCTCTTTTAAAAAATGGCACACGGTTTCATGCCACATTCTTCTGCCACTTGCTTGCTTTTTCACTGTACAGTGTGTTTTGAGGCGCACTCTATGTCAGCACAAAAAGATCTACTTTCTTTTTTATGGTGACTGAGTATTTCGTGATAGGAACGTGTCCCCAGTGTGAACACACTTGCACATCTATCTCCTGGCGCTCCTGTGAATTCTGGTATGCTTGACTCTTAAAAGAAGTTCCTGGAGCACAGCACATGCTGTGTTTTTTATTGGCACAAGGGTTCAAGTTACCCTCCAAAAAGGTGTTGCCAGTAGCCATAAGGACCCCCTTCCCGACATTCATGCCAGCTCTATAGTTACATCACCCTGATGGATGGATAATATTACCTTGTTTAAATATGCATCATTCTCTGAATAGCGGAGAGGTTGAGAAAAGGTTGCAAAATGTATTTTGTGAGTAATATTCATTCATTATTGAAAACTTAAAAGATACAGACAAGTCTAAAGAATAGCTTCACCTTAATCTCAATACCCACTTAGAATTGTGTTACTATTTTTGATGCATATCGTTGCAGGTCTCTGTGGTTTTGTTTTTTGTTTTTTTAAATGAAAAACATGTGCCCCACAGTCCCGACTACCAGAGTCATGAGACCTGCTTGAGTTAATCCTGATCCTGCTCTGGACTTGCTATGAGTTAGTCCCACTAGGGCTTGGTCTCCTTCCCTGTGGTCGGAGGCTCAGAGACCAGGCCCCACATACCTTTGCATGGAGAGTCCTTGAGAGGTACGAAGTCCTCTACCCACAGCAGTGGCTTAGGTAATTACAGTCATTAACTGGCGTACAGTTGACCCTTGATCAACATGGCTCCGCTTATGCTCAAGTGTTTTTCTTTCCAACGGGTCCACATCACAGATTCAACCAACTGTAAGTGTCAGGTAGGTTGACTCCCAGGTGGGCGGGGATACAGGACCTGTGTATACAGAGGGTTGACTTCAATGTCTACGTGGATTTTTGATATTGTTCAAGGGTCAGCTTTGTGTGTGTGTGTGTGTGTGTGTGTGTGTGTGTGTGTGTGTGTGTGTGTGTGTGTGTTTAAATACATATGAAGTCTGCAGAGTCATGCTGGGTTGAATGACCAGGCCGCTCTCTCCTCTGACCCTCAGCTGGTGGGCACTAGTCAGTTACGGAGTCCTATTGGTCACCCTGGGAGCCTTCATCTTCGGCCAGACCACGGCCAATGCCATCTTTGTGGATCTGTTGGCATAACCATCGGTTCTCAGGGAACACACACCTTGGCCATCAACTGCAGGAACTTGTCACATAGAACTGTGGGGCCATCTGAAGTCTGGCATCATTCCTATCTGCTGATGGGATGACATCTGGACATCCTCTTCCTGGGATAATCTTGGGGCCAAATCAGGCCCCCACCTAGACAGCTCAGCCCCACCCACCTACCTGCTCCCACACCCTGGCCATGCCATGGATGGTGGGAAGAGGCCTCATGTTCCAGAGGAGCCTACAACACCCCCCTTCCAGCTCTCCACGTCTCCATGTCAGACCCCACAGATGAGGAGGGTCAGCCAGTCTCAGAAGAGCAGTCTCAGCCAGCCTGACCTCCTCTGGAGAAAGAGTGTGGGTGAAAGGCCCCATCCTCCCTTGGGCCGCGTCTCCTCAGTGGGGACTGTGCTCCTTCCCTGAGACTCGGAGTCCATCAGCAGCCTGGCCAGCAGCATTCATCTGGGACACACTGGCCGCACCCACAGGAAACACTGAAGTCACGGGGTGCACAGAGGCAGAGTCAGGCCTTGTCCACCCCTCCTGGACCCACAGTGAGCCTGCTACCCCTCTTCCTGTGGCTAACTGGCATTTCCTCAGCCTTTCAGGGCCTCACTTGTCTCTTCCTGCAAACCTGGTGGCCCAGGTAGGCCTCTCCCCTTCCATCCTGGCCATCACAAGTCTAATGTTTACAGGCGGTGCCAGCCTGGCTCTGAACCGGGGACCAGGGCCGCCGCGCCACGGTGCTGAGTAATCCTCCGTTAGCTTTTCCCACGGGGGAGTCTGCTTTCCTCACTCAGATTCCAAATGGGCCCCTCTTTTTAGAGGCACGGGGTGGGTGATGGGAAAGGCTGTGGGAACCTTTCAGACCGATGCAGGCTGGGTCGGGAGCCAGAGGAGTTTCTGAGACCTCTTCCTGCCTGCTTCCCCCTCCATGTCCGTCCATCCTCAGCACCACCACTCTCCAGAATGCAGAAAGGCAGCTGATGGGCCACCTATGAGTACAGTCATGCAGTTGGGGTCTTTCCTGCACCCCAACCCTCTTTCGCCCCCACCCATTTTCTATAGAGTTCAGTCTCCTGCTCACCGAAGTGTGCAGGTAAAGGGCACCAAAGTTTCTCTTCTCAGCTGCCTCAGTTCCACCAGGCCTGCCCTTGGCAGCCTCCATCAAGGGCATTGAGGGCATATGTGAGCTGTTACCCCAGGTAGGATGAGGGGGAACTTATCCCCTCCATACTCCCACTCAATCTTCTTGGCCTGTTCACCTTGGCAAAGTGCATGTACCAAATCAGGCCTCCTCCACCTGGAACTCCTGGCATTTCCTTGGCTACTGCTGCCCCAGACGTTCATTCCCTTCCCTGTCCAGCAGCGTGCCCCCGAAGGCAGTGCAGTGGAAGCAGCAGCAGCTGGGTCGGCTTCTGCTAGGTCCCGGGCTGGGTGGCCACCTTCCCTCCAGCAAAAAAAAAAAACTCAGCAAAAAACCCCAGCTTTGTGCTGCTGAGTCTCGGGGGCTACCACACCCAGGAGTACGTATAATCAAACATCGCAGAACGATGTGTGGACCAATGACAGGCCACATACACAAAGGAGGTCCGTGTGTATCCCTAGGTATGCAGTAGGTTAGAGCACTAGGTTCGTGTAAGTACATTCTGTGACGTTCACACAAGGATGAAAATGCCGTGCAGCACGTTCCGCTGAATGGATGCCTGTTACTAAGCAACAAATGACTTGACTTGCAAATTGTGTTAAGTGACAGGAAAAGAAAACATAAAATGATATGTTTGAGGACCTAGAGTTTATCTGAGGAGTCAAGGAAGGCTTCCTGGAGTAAAAGACATTTGAGCCAGCCCCGGAATGATGAAGAAGGGGAGGCCTGCTAGCTGAGCAAAGAGAGGCAGGGAGACCTTTTCAGAGCATGGTGCTGGCCCTGTGCAAAGCCCTGTGGAGAGAGGCACTGGCTGGTAAGATACTAAAATGTGGCCATCGTAGAGGGAGCATTGCCTGGGTGTGGGAGAGCAACTGGATTGGGGGGATACATCACAGGGGACAGAGCACCTGTGGGGATACTCAGTGGCTCCCCCTGGTCTTTGGAGTAGAGGCCAACCCGCTCATCTTGCATCCCATTCCTCCCTGTTCCAGTCGTTTACATAGGACCTTTTCCAGCGGCGTTGGGGACTCTCTCCATGGACAAAACACTACCAAAGGTTCATACCTAATGAGAACTAAGCTTGAGGTTCACTTTCTGAGTGAACACAGGGAAGAAAAGGTTCCTTGTTGGCGAAATTCACCCATCCGTTTTAACTCCAGACCTGTCTGTGTTTTGTTCACCCCACTCAAGTACTTGATCAGCACCTGTCTCCCCCATTAGACCGTCAGCTCCACAGGAGCCGGGTCATATTCCCCCTTGTCCACCAGGTGTCTCAGCCCAGTGCTGGGCATGTGGTAAGCACGGGTCCAGCAGCTGTTGAATGAACGGACAATATCACCTAATGTCTGCTGAGTTCGTATCTTACGCAGCACGAGCCTTGCGTCATCCTCACGAGATTCTCACAGCTATGAAGAAGCGAAGCTGAGAGCTGGACTGCTCTGCCCAGCGACACACAAGTAGGAAAGTTGGAGCCAGAAAGCACTCCTACAAGGCAGCACGAATAAACAAGTATGCAGAAGACCCCCTCACAGCCAGCCTGATGACCTCAACCCCAAAAGGCAGGCTCAGGAACCCCTGGCCATGTCAAGGAGTGCAGGGACCTAACTAGTGGACCTGGGCAACTCGTTTCAACTCTCTGGACTCTTGTTTCTAAATCTGAGTTACGATTGACAATCACTGCTGTTACTTACTTCACAGAGGAGAGCCGATGTAAAAAATACATGAAAAATAATTAGTACTTTATGTCCAGACTTTCTCATTTACAAAGGGAGACCACTCAGTTTCTCCTCAGGATGTAGGCAGGGCTTCTCCAGCCCTTCCCAGGAGTCAGTGCTTCTGGAAGAGAAACAGGAGCAACCTCTGTGCCACTGGGTGGTACCCAGGGCACTCAGCCAACTCGCTGGTAAAAGATGGCACTTTCTGACTCCCCGATGGGGGCTTCTGGGAGCCAGGGCTGCAGCAGGGTCACATGTGGACCTTAAAAGGGTCAACACAAGTCAGCTAGGCTCTTGGGCTCCCCTCGCAGTCTCTGCTCAGCTGATGCTCTCTACATGTGCCAGCCAATACATTTTCTTTTCTCCCTTAGGGCTCCCTTTTTCTCACTCATGATGTAAATCTGCGTTGTGTCTTTTCCTGTATATTTAAAGATCTGTTTGTTTATGCATACAGAACTGGGGTACAGGCCAGAGGTACAGGGACGGTGAGAGGATTCACCAGAGACAGAGTGGGGAGCACAACAGGCAGATCGAGAAAGTACACTGCTGAGGGGAGCAGCGGGCGGGTCAGGAGAGGTCTGCCACGCCATGTGGGTCACCTCCAGGGCAGACAGGAATTAAACTCATGCAGAAGTGGCTTTAGCTTCTTAGTGCTGTGCTTTAAGCCGCTGCGCCACCAGGGAGAGCCCACCGTCCCTGTATATTTTTTAAAGACTTATTTTTATTTATACCTACAAGAGCTGGGGTGTAGGCCAGAGGTGTAGGAGGGTGTGAGAGGATTCACCAGAGACAGAGTGGGGAGAAGAATACACTACTGAGGGGAGCAGCGGGCTGGGCAGGAGAGGTCTGCTGCTCCATAAGGGTTGGTTCACTGGCCGGAGATCAAACTCATGTGGCAGCGCTGTGTCTTTAACCGCTGTGCCACCAGAAAGGTCCCAAACACCATGACATTTTATAGAAGGGGATCATGAAACCAATTCTCCAGGACCCCAAAGGACAGGTGTAAAACAAATGCCATAATACATGAAGTGCCTGGCAGGTTAACAGTGCTTTTTGTCAGTGTTCACTTGCAGTTTCTGCGTTTGGCCGGTAGAGGTCACCTTTGTATAATTTTTGTTAATGAAAGTGAATGGGCCTTCAGCCTCAAAACTCCAAGTCTCTGAGTCAGGGGGGCTCCTGGTGGTTCCGCAGCTGCCTGGTACTTCGAAGTGACAACCCAGATAAGGAGACAAATTTCAGGGCCTCCCTGGTGGCGTAGGGGTTAGTGCTATCACTACTAAGGCCTGAATTTGGTCCCCAGCCAGGGAAATAACCCACATCTAGTTAGTACAGCAGACCTCTCCTGTGTCACAGTGCCTTTCGCTGCTCCCCACTCTGTCTCTGGTGAATCTTCTCACTGTCCCCATCTCTGGCCTACATCCCAATTACTCTACACACACACACATACACAGAATTCAACTGGGGAAATTCTAAAGGTCTTATTGAGTCAGGCAGCATCCCACCTAGCACCACCCAGCAGGCAGAAAGGAAATACCAAGAACCAACCAAATGAAAGATTTTATAGACAGAACGGAATGGGACAAGGAAGTGACACCGGTAAAAAGCAGAGTGGTTGGGACAAGGTCACAGGGTTCTATCTGCAGATTACCTCACTAATGCTGTCTGGGTCATTCCAGATTGGCTGAGTTAAGATTCCATTCCAAGGAGAGGCAAAAACTGTCCTTAAATTAGGTATTAAATCTCAGCTTGTGATATGGAACTTAGTGTAAGTCTTTTCCTCTTTTTTGTTTTTCTTGAGCACCCTGATTGTGGGACAGAATCAACTTAAGTTCATGCCCTCTAGTCTGATGGGAGGAATCAGATCAAATAATCACAGAAAGGGTGTAGGCATATATGCTAGATACAGATTAGATATCATGAATCCAGATACACTAATCATTCATTGCTGCTACAATGGAAACTTTTTTAGTAGATGTGAAGTAAGGCCAGAGCTATTTCACTGGGGAGAAGGAGGATACTATTCTTAACCCTTTATGTTGTGGGGAGGAGGAAGACAGAGAAGCCCAAGAGCCTTCCAATTGGTCATTATACAATTTAAAATGAAATTGATACTTGCAGGCTAGCATTAAAAGAGCTTGGAAATGGGGCTGTTCCTGGTGGAACAACAGCTTAAAGCACTGCGTTACGAAGTTCTCCAAAGCCATTGTAGCTCGA